TCTTAGTTAAGTACATCCCACCGGTAGCAGTACCTATCCACGCAGCCTTCATATCTTTACTGCCTGACGCCAATCTGTGGTACTGATCACCTTATCCGAGACACTTGGTTAGACCCCAGATTAACGCCCCACACCGGCTTTGTGCTAGTTGTCTGAAGCAACCAGCTGCGGATGCGAGTGGCCGTATTGCCTGGAGCAAGCTTCAGGGACGTTACGTTTGAAGGCCTTCGACGGCTTCGAATGAAAATTCGGGAGGGTTCAGATTAGTTTGGGCATTATGTTGCAGCAGGGTGCGAAGCTTAAGCAAACATAGTGGAAAATAAGCACTCACATGTATTTCGTGAGATTATAGCCCTGTTGGGCCCCTTGAATCCGACCTTGTAAGGGATCAAACGCAACACAGCCTCGAACGGGAAAATAATGAGTGTAAGGACGTACCTAAGCCTTTAAGCGACGATGAAAGAAAGCAAAAGAGCATCTCAATCTAAGTTCATACCAGAGGTTCGGCAATCTTAGCTGGCCGGAACATCTCATCTCTGCCGACTCCAGAGGTCTGACCATCTCACCTCTGCCGACTCCAGAGGTCCGACCATCTCACCTCTGCCGACTCCAGAGGTCTGACCATATCACCTCTGCCGATTCCAGAGGTCTGACCATCTCACCTCTGCTGGCTCCAAAGGTCTGACCATCTCACCTCTGCCGACTCCAGAGGTCTGACCATCACACCTCTGCCGACTCCAGAGGTCTGACCATGTCACCTCTGCCGACTCCAGAGGTCTGCCACCTCACCTCTGCCGACCAGAGGTCCGACCATCACACCTCTGCCGACTCCAGAGGTCTGACCATCTCACCTCTGCCGACTCCAGAGGTCTGACCATGTCACCTCTGCCGATTCCAGAGGTCTGACCATCTCACCTCTGCTGACTCCAGAGGTTTGACCATCTCACCTCTGCCGACTCCAGAGGTCTGACCATCTCACCTCTGCCGACTCCAGAGGTCTGACCATGTCACCTCTGCCGATTCCAGAGGTCTGACCATCTCACCTCTGCTGCTCCAGAGGTCTGACCATCACACCTCTGCCGACTCCAGAGGTCTGCCATCTCACCTCTGCCGACTCCAGAGGTCTGACCATCACACCTTGCCGACTCCAGAGGTCTGACCATCACCTCTGCCGACTCCAGAGGTCTGACCTCACCTCTGCCGACTCCAGAGGTCTGACCATCACACCTCTGCTGACTCCAGAGGTCTGCCATCTCACCTCTGCCGACTCCAGAGGTCTGACCATCACACCTCTGCCGACTCCAGAGGTCTGACCATCTCACCTCTGCCGACTCCAGAGGTCTGACCATCTCACCTCTGCCGACTCCAGAGGTCTGACCATCACACCTCTGGACTCCAGAGGTCTCCATCACACCTCTGCGACTCCAGAGGTCTGACCATCACACCTCTGCCGACTCCAGAGGTCTGACCATCACACCTCTGCCGACTCCAGAGGTCTGACCATCACACCTCTGCTGACTCCAGAGGTCTGACCATCTCACCTCTGCCGACTCCAGAGGTCTGACCATCACACCTCTGCCGACTCCAGAGGTCTGACCATCACACCTCTGCCGACTCCAGAGGTCTGACCATCACACCTCTGCCGACTCCAGAGGTCTGCCACCTCACCTCTGCCGACTCCAGAGGTCGGAGCTGTTCAGCTTGCTCATCCTCCGGGGCGGGAACGAAGCCATTGGTGACGTAGTCGGAGGGTCTGGTGTCGACGTGGCCCTGCACCCTGGGCACGCGTCGCAGTCGGACGAACTTGAAGTGCGCCCAGGCCAGCGCCCGCTTCAGCTCGTAACAGAGGCCTGCAGAAGGTTCAGTGTGGTCAGTGCCGGAGTGGTCCGTAGAGTACCTCACGCAATAGGACTCGGGAGGCGTGATCAATGTTTACACTCTGAAGGTTTTTGGTGGAGCATTCCTGACATGGGCGAGATCCATAAATATACACATATTTGCTTATGGTAGCAAGGACGGAACAAGAGCATTCATGGTGTGGTGGGCGGCACTGAGCCCTGAGTCTTGTGCCAGTCCGGGAACACTAAAGCAGCATTACATCACTCGTGCCAAGGCATGTCAATAGGCAATAACGCTTGGACTACTTGTTCCAAAACACTGAGCGTGCTCTGTTCCGGTGGACACCAGCGGTCGCGAAGACCGGCCGCAACACTGACCTTCAAGGGGCCGACAGCGAGAGGTACGCTAATGAAATGATCATACCACCACGCGAACGATGATCTGTGAACGCGTGGTTCAGTCAGTGCTGTGCCCTGTAACAGTGACGGATTGAGATCCAGTAGCCGTCGGCTTACCGTCAGTTTTGGGCAGTTTTGGTCACATCCGACGAGGAGTGACGACGACGCCTCCATCACACATTTGGCACGTGAAAAGCGCCAAATCACTCCTGCTCCATCACTCTAAATCTCTCACGGCCGACCAGGCAACACGGGCTTTAAGGCAGCATTGTTTCGCCTTCCTTGAGCGCCAGACGCGTGTTTTACTGCCGGCGGAGCCAAAATTCGCCCCTGTGCTCACCACGTTTCCACTCATACTGGAATAGAATGCATGCTTACATCCACGTGTATCCAACATTCGTTTGACGACGTGCGTCGAAGAGGACTCACAATTTGTCGTGAATCAGCGACGGAATTGAGTCATCAGAGACCACGATCAGTCAAATTAGTGCAAAATAAAAACGGCAGCCAAAGCTCATAGCCTGTTACAGCGTATATCCACCAAATGAATCTCAGGCATACAGCTGTAAATGAATCCCGGCCGTACAGCTGTCAATGAATCCCAGCCACACAGCTGTAAATGAATAACAGCCATGCAGCTGACAATGAACCTCAGCCATACAGCTGTAAATGAATAACAGTCATGCAGCTGACAATGAATTCCAGCCATACAGTTGTATTGTTACCAAAATGAATCATCCGCTCATGCCTTTGTCAAGTTCATCTCCACATGCATCTCCCAGACCGTTGTTATCAGCACCGACTGCGTCAGACTCTATTCCAAAATTGAGTCACATTTCCTCGAGTCGAAATCGTAGTCAACTTACGTGGAATCAGTCCTCATGCACTGTTCGTTCGAGTCGGGATCAATTCCACTGAAGTGGGACCAAACAACAACAAACAAGACAAAACAAAACAAGAGTAGCACGCGACCCTCTTGCATCGACCGTAAACCGCGTTGTCTCACTCTTCTCTACACGACGATGGCATTTTACCGTAGTGGTTTAGAGAAAAGATAATGCGGTTGCAACCCAATCGCGATCTGCATGAGTTAGAAAATGAGCCATTGTTTGGATCGAGCGACACGAAGTGGTCTGCTGGCACCAGGCCAAGATGGGCCCATGAGGCACTGACCACTTGTATCGTACGGAATTGCAAAGCACGTGAAGTGTCCCTCCGCATTGCAGTTTGGCTTAAACAGGCAGGAAGCAGAGTGGCTTAAAACAAGAGAAACGGCGCGAAACATCGAAACGAATCCACCGGAAGGGAGGGATCAGGACGTCAATGCCTGTGCGCATAAGTAGCTTCTTCACTAAGAAGTGACTTATATCAACATATGTTGATCAACTTTGCATTGCTCGCGACGCGCTTCACGGTACAACGGTTGTATTATTCGACAAAGGGATACACACGTTCAGTGTAAATTTAGTGGTTTAAAAACACGCCCAGGCAAGTTGAAAATACCACACACGTTCATGCAATGACAGACGACCAACATACGACCAACACCACTGTGTCTGTGTCTGTGCCTTCAAACAATACTGAACGTGTGTGCTCTTTTGTCTGATGATGCAGCCGTTGTTCTGTGAAACGTTTTGCGAGTAGTATAATAGACATATATACCCACACACGCACACACACACACACACGCATATATATATATATATATATATATATATATATATATATATATGTATATATCATATAGTTACGCTATTCACTTCAACCGCCTTCGCCCATGCGGTCGGCGACGGTCGCTGACGCAAGGAACCAGACGCGTAACTTGATGCGTAACCTGACGCGTAACTTGAGGCGTAACCGGGCGCGTAACCGGATGTAAACGGGCGGTGTGCCGGCGTAGTGAAAACTGGGCTCATACGCATTTGCTGGATGCCACAATGACGAGAGCAACTTAGGCATTACGCTTATGTAAGTGCTCACCTGCAAACCCCTTGAACGCACCGCAGACGTGCGCAATTTCTTGCATGGCGTATACAAAATGGCATGTTTTCAAGACCAGTTAAAGACGAGTGCCTCTGCCCCGTCCCCCTCTTCAACATATCTCGGTTCAGTC